TCTGCCTGTGACGACGACCCCAAAAGGGTTACTTTTCTAGATAGCATTTAAAGATCAGATTTGCTTATACCATGACCTTTATATTTTGTCAAGTAGATGGTGCAGCACAGTATTTGAAATAAAATATCTTTTCACGGTTTTCTTGAGAGAAAATTTTTTGCTTGCGAAAGAACTGGAAATCTGGTCTAGACTGTAGAGCTGATAAGCTAAAATATTCCACAATACAATTTTAATGAGCATATTTATCAAGATTATTGCCTTTCACATATCCTTTTTTGCTATTAGCAATACTTTGTACGCCATCGGCTGTAGAATGTTATCTCAAACCATACACAATGACTGCAGTCTAGCACAGCACTTTCAGATAATAGTAGATAACCATAAATGCAATCGTCTCGAATCACGCATCAAATGTCAATTTTGAATGCAGAAAATATAAGAAAAATCAGAAACTTTACCTCGAAAAATTGCTGGACAAACCGAGGTAAATGTACTTCACGGAAGGAAAGATCGATTGCGGGAATACTCATCTGTTCGTTTAGCTTATAAGTTCGTTTTCAGTCACTGCTGCTCGGTTCAATTCTAATCATCATTAAAATCCTGTCACATATATGGAAGAGTGAAAAGCCAATACAGCCTTGAGTTCGCCTTCGCCTTCGCCGTCTGCGTTTTACAGGTTCTGGTTAAGTCAGACAACGAATACTTTCGGTTATATTCCGCTCACTCTTGATTAGCCTGTGCAGTTGAGTCAACGCAATGATATCCGTTTATTCGGCTATCATAAGTGTAAGGAACTTTTTGTTCTCTTATTAATACAAACGAATTCTGGAATCGATTTACTCATGTCCATCTTACATCCCAGCTTCTAAGCTCATCATTGAACAATAAAAATTTGATTTTATAAAATCTTAACTCCAGTTTAGTAATAATAGAAAACACAAAAAAAAAAAAAAAAACAAATCCGCCCATGGTGACATGTATATATATATATATATATATACATAGCATTTTTAATTTTGCGTATGGCATGAAAAACTTAACATGAAATTATATATATATGTATATATAGTATAGTGTAATATAATTTCAAAGATTTTTAATATTTGTGAACAAACTTTCTCACGCTAATGTGTAAGTCAGTAAGTTTTTAAATCATTATTATTTCATTACATATATACAAAATTTAATTTGAATTTATTAAAAAGGTGTGTAATCAAGTGCAATCAATGACAGACTTGAAGGCATCTGAGATCGAGAGAAGTTTCATTTAATTAATTAATCGTCACCTAGAAAATAATGTGTACATTATTTTTCCATTATTCCTATTCCTGGAAATTCAAGATATTAGTATTGTCATTATCGAGTTTCCCAGGTTTGGACTCAGCTGTTCTGGAATTTTCTCTTGATGCCCTCATGATTGCACGATATAATTATTACTGTATACATTTGCAAGTCATTGATATTGCAAAAATCCGCGCATCTAGGCCACTCTAGAGGGCAGCACTCGCTTTGCATACCTTCTCCAATGCATTGTGCGTCCCTACGTACTGTACACCTTTTATTGCACTTTTTCCCGTACATGCAATCGCGATGAGAGTTATTATAACCTTTCCTCTATTGTCCATAACTTTAATCTCTTGTCAAGTACACTGTTTATGCGTTTTGTGTGAGCGAGATTACGGCATCCATAATATCGATCATTTTTTTTGGCCAATTCAATACAACTATGTGCGGTTTATTGGCGCTTATTGTTCGGTCAGTACGTTGTGGCTTGCATTCTTCACTTTGGAGACCATTTGTGAATGATGCCATGAACTAATGGGAAACTCACGGGATCCTACCATCAATTTTCGAAGCCCATTGAAAAATTATCAACCCGAGTAGTAGAGTAAGTGTCATTCTCTCCTTGCCCATCGCTCTTCGAAAGACTTTCAGCAATACGAACATTTTCGGACATCTCTCGATCTTTCTTGAGGATGACGTTCTGTTTTGTACGCGAAGGTCAGACACCTATGGGACATTAGCGTTGCCAGGCCAGATATGCTAAATTGTAGTAATAAAATAATTTGCTTAGTCTTGCATAACGCACAACATGCATAATATTTGAGTCAATATGCGTTTGCTAAGCAAATCGAAAAAGTCGCTTTCAAGCGACTGTAAGGCGAATAAGGAGATTTAGGAAAGAAATACGCATTAAAAATCTCATAAATATTACAACCTTGACATAATTTTACTTTCGATTCAATATTTTGTTTGTTTGTCTAAATGTCAACTTGCACAGCGACAAAAATATAATTTGGAAATAGAATTTGGCAAAAACATTTTATGGGATCGCTTGAACAACTACGGCAAACAGTCTTCAAAATATCACTGTTTCCTCAAAATACTGACCAGAGCCATTTATTACATGTAACTCGGTATGTTCTTTCTTCAATTTATCCTTGAGATGATAAATGATAGAGACCCACTTCGAAGCGATAATAAAATTTTCTTATCCATTTTTATTGATACGGTCTTCTTTAATAGATTTGTCATAAATAATAATTTTATTTATTTGTTTGTTTATTTATTTATTTACTCATTCATTTATATTTTCCATACTGAACTGAACTATTGACTCACATTTTCTACTCTTGTTCAGGTTTATTAGTATTTTTTTTCCTCTTGATTATAACAACTATAAGATGCCAATAAAATGGCATGTAAAACCAAAAGAAATCGTGCCACTAGCAATTTATGTAACTATTATTGCTGTTGTTGTGTTTGTCGTTTCTCTTTTATTTCCTATTTTTATTTAATGACATTATCATCAGTCTCACATCATTACCATCATCATCGTCATCGTCATCATCATAGACGTCGTTATCATCGCCACTAGCAACAACTATAGCACCCACAACGACAATTGCTAGCTAACAGCAGACAATTCAGCGTAAAAGTCTCCCGTAAATGTTAAACTGAAGTGACCCTAAACTAATACCTAACTGATGAAGGCAAAAAATTGAAATTCTCCTACATACCATTCACACAGGAATACACACACAGGCGCGGGTATTTATAAATACATCGAAAATATACACATAAATAAATTCGAAATTCAATTTCATTTAACTAAACCCAGAAAACCAAACAACAAACTCTCACTTACTCCCTCACCAGCACCGCTGTGTACGGCTGACTTTTAATAAGAAAATTCAGAAAAGCATCAAAGCAAGGCATTCGTTGCCACAGCCTAAACGTTTGGAAAAACGATGAAAATAATTCCTTTAATTCCAAATAAATAAATAAAAGGAAAAAAAAAAAAGTGAGAAAAAAAAAAAAAAAATTGTAATACGTAACATGGAAACGTGACAGTAGTGACCTAATGGACCTTTTCCATGCTTCTCATTTCCTTTTTTTTTTCTTTTTTCATTTCATTTTGTTATTTATTTATTTTTTTTCCTTTTCTTTTTTTGCCCAATTTTGTCAGATTGTATAATGTATATGTTCGAGGAGAAGAAAGATAATATAAGAGAAATGTGACATAAAATTAACTTTCATGCATGTGCTTACGTTTACTGCTTCTTTTTTTGCTTTTTTTTCAGCAAATATTCTTAGAAATATTTGTATTCAGTTCGTCGCAAATATTTACTAAAAAAGGCATCACTTAAACTAAATGACCGTAAAATACAAATATTAGTTATGCTTAAGAACATTTGCACACACACATTTACACACACACACACACACACACACACACACAAAGTTATGCAAATAAGCACACAGCAGCTGATGAGTGAAACTAAGTAAACAATTGTTAGCTGTTATTAGCCGTATACCAGGTATGTGTATGACTACGTACATAAAGCAGAAAAAATAGAAAAAATATAAAAAATAAATAAAGAAATGAAAACAAAAAAAAAAAAAAAAATTAAAGAATCTACAAATGATGACCGCATTATCAATAGCCACTCACTCTATGCTTGCCGCGCTCTCCTCATCCTCCTCCTCCTCCTCCACTCCCTCCTCATAAAAAATCTTTACTGCTTACACTATTTTATAGAATCTAATAATTTCTTTAAATGAATCATCCGAATGACATACATACCTTCTATATTCTATAAACTTTACATGCAAACGGAACGATATATTGTGGTGCTAACAATAAAACAATGCTTTTTAAAGCTTTAAGAGAAAACAGAGAAACGGGCAGTTTTTTCCCACACATTCACCGATTTAGACCAATTTCAATATAAACCTATTCAAAGGAATTTGAGTCTATGAAATTTCACTCTTCTATTAGATACAAAAAAAAAAAAAAATTAAAATAAAAATAAAGAATAAAGCGGACGTTAAAACAGCCGAGTCTCGGTATTAACTTTTCTTTCGTTTCCCTGATGCTTGCAGGGAAAAGCCAATAATTCAAACTGTGGGCGGATCTGTAGTTCGATTTCACTCCGCCTGCATGGTTCAGGCCGTGAAGCGACTTACAAGGGAAAAGGCAAGATCAAGATTAATTTCTACTTAGCATTTTGAAGTAATAATAGTCAAGTAGAGTGGACAGACGGACAGCCACATGTGGCTATGTTTACTTCGCTATTCTTTTGGCGATTGCTTCCTTTAGTTTAGCCGAACTATAGAATTCTCCGTAATAAATTCTTTCAGCCAGGTTCGATCTTCAGGACTAAATTAAAAGGATTGCCTATAATGAAGAAGAATCATATGTAAATAAGGCGCTTAATTACCCTGAAAAACGCAGTCAGATAGTGCATGAACGTGGTTTGCGATATGACTGAAATATATTGACTTGGTAATGGAGCTTGGCTTCACCTTCCAAGCAAACTTCGTGTACAGATAAGTGACGAGATATCAAGAGTTTTCGCCGAAGACGGAGACAATCGTTTATCGTTCTTTCTTTCTTCGTCGATTGAACTCAGTGATTATTTGAAACCATTTATTTAAATGTTAATTATATTTCAAGTTTTACAATACAATGAATTGCTACATGTAGTTAAAACTAAAAAAAGAAAAAAAGAAAAATGGATCAGGTTTAAACCGGATCTCCTAAAGCAAACAATAAAGTCAAAGTCAATTTGTTGTTGTTTTTTTTTTTAAATGCAATTTACGCGCAACGAGCATCCAAACGGAAAATTTTATTTAGTTGGCATGACAGGAACATGCAGTTGAAGCATTCTACTGGTTTTATCGAATATAACGCGAGCACGATCTTGATCCATTTGATAATCAAGAAATTTATCAAACATATAACCGTGCTTTGTAGATTCAAGCAATATGCGATCTTCTCCAATATCTAAAGTGAATTCTTGGGAGGAAAGGCATTTCGGTAAATAAAATTCAGCTTGTATTTCTTCGACTTGCTCGTTATAAAGACGAGCCCGTAATTTAAACTCTGGGATAATTAAAGCAGACTCAGCCTCTTGCTCCTTCGTAGATGTCGGTAGTTTTTCTTTCTCATCAGTTCGGTTTTGCTCCGATTTTTCCTTTGACGTTTCTAATATTTTGTAATCGATTTCTTCAATTAGCGGCTTATTTTGTATTTCCATAATATTTTCCTCGTTGGAGCTTTTAGTCGGATTGATTGCATTTTTGATAGCACCACTACGGATACGATGCGTTACCAAGGTTCCAATAAATTTACGATTATTCAAGACGATTACTTTATCAATTCTTATTTGAACGTTGTACTTCTCGTTTAAGGCTTCGGCAATCAGGGCCAAAAAGAAATCGCGAAATATTAATGATTTCTCAATTTTTGCAAAAAAGTTTGGATTAAGTGCAATATCGACAGCGTCGACGGTATTATTGGATTTATCTTTGGTTGTGCGTGGCTCAGCAATGCTCATCAGTACGCGGAACGAACTCGGCTGATCCGAATTCAAAATGGCTGCTAATTGAGCTTCGGTTAGATCTTCGGGAGCTGGTATCTCTTCAGTTTGACAGACGTTGATGAAATACTTTTCATTGGTGTTAACTTTATATGTTTTAATGCAGCAACCGGCATTAGGTTCAACAATTTTGTAATGACATGGGGGAAGTCCACCGGAATGGCCACCGGCACTTCCCGTTTCGCCAAAAAATTGTTGAAAATTCTCTTCAAAATCATTTCCTATAAATTTCAAATTTCTCTCCAGTAAAATATTGTCCGCATCTAAGAAATTGTTTTGCGAACTCATTCTTAAGCAATAGGTTATCCTTTGTAAAAAAAAAAATTCTAAAAATATTAAATTTGATTTCTTTGGGACACAAAAATATGCTTACGTGTTTCTCTGCACAGAACAAAAGCGAAAATGTTCTACAGCCTGACCAGGCCTGCCAACTTTACTTTTTTATTTTTATTTGGTTTTTGGTTATCATTATTGACGCAGAACTTTCAGCGTAATATTTAAGGGTATGTATGGGTTCACATGTCAATGTTGTTTTTTTGCTTGCTTATGAGCCAAATATAGGGAGTTCGTAGTATGGCACATGAAAAGAAGACCGAAAATTACTTTAACATTTTAAGAAAGTAATTCTTGTCGAAAATTCTTCACATACCCTAAGTCAAATTGATATACATTTTCAGTTCAAAAGAAAAATGCTAAGGAAACAATGTTCGCCTAAAAAAAGCTTTCAGTTCTTTGCTAATTACGAGTCAGTTAACTAATTCTGGCGATTTTTATTTCTTACGTGGCTTTGCGAATACTACAGATCAATATCGCTTAGCTGATCTCTAACTTACACTTTGCTTTTACTGTTAGCGCTGTTGGGAGCGAATTACAAGCTATCAGCTGCAAATATTTATGCACTAAGTATGCCGAGTAGACACGACAAACGAACCCATCTAAATGGCGTCAGAATTTTACGCAAATCCGCTTTTTCTTTATTTTGAGTTAGAAATAGTCGAGCAGCGCAGCTTTATGTCGTCAGCTAATTAAGCTTGTATTTTAAGTTGCATGCATCTCATATATGCCAATCTTTCTCAAGTAGATGTGAAAGATATACTTAGTATAGTTGAGAATGGATTAGAAATCGTTTCCAGACTTTCATTGCAGAAGTTTCAATGCTCTTGTCCGGCCGTTTGCCTCTCATGACAATCAAATACCCCCGATATTGATAAATCAACTGTTTTGAGCCGCATTCGATGTTTTTATGGCACTGTGTGTAGAATTTGATTGTACTACGGATTATACGGTCTATGTCAATAAGCATAACTAAAAATTACTGGGTTATAATATGCCGCGAAATAAAAAAATAATGAAGTCACACACCCTTATAGCCAGCCTCGCAGAACTAAAAAACCAAGCGATTGCTACAAACTATCAAACAGTCTGCGCTTATACTAGCTGAACAGAGTGTAATGCAAGAAGCGTCTTATAAAAATTTTAATAGAAATAAAGGCATTCCAGAGAGTTTGAAGAGCTCTCAGGGGAACCTAATCTTGCTAATCATCCCCCAGTGTTCTTCTATATATATGTAATACCAGAAAGTAAAAATGTGGACTACGAATCGTGAGCGTACTTCATATCTTCAGTAAATTTTAATAAACCCTCAAGCTGAGCGACCAATACTTTTCCTCATCTCGTGTCGAACATAATATGTTTTCTTCTTTTTTTTCTTTGTATTTCAATTTATTTGCTCCTGAACCCGTTCTAGTTGCAAAGTACCAACACGATTTTCTGTATTTCAGTTTCATAAACCGAGCTATGGTTTTCCATCTTCTAGTAAAAGAGTCAATGAGGCGTGCGATACTACCCAACGAATTATCTTTGCTTTATATGTTATGCATGGCTATGAGATCTAGCATCTACTAATTTTTTTTAGTTACTCTATGGTAGTGATCTGAATCCACTTGAGAACTGAGTCGAGATATGTGTGCTTTGTCAGTGAAAAAAAAAGAAAACATTTTCAGCGAAATATCTGCTTAAAAACTTTCGCTGAGATGAACTCAATTTAAGAGCACGTACATAATATTACAAATTTGCAAAAAAAAAAAAAAAAAAAAAATCATAAAAAGATATAATATCTTTATATAATAACAATGAAAAAATATTTAAACGTTTTTTTTTTTTTTTGTTTTTTTTTCTTTGTAGCTTTGTTGATTTTTACTCAAACCGCTGTTATCGCACATATAACCAGAGAGTAATTTACGGCTATTTTTATTCATATTTTACATACTCGCTATACGTTTTGCGGATAATACCTACTAATTGAAGAATGCTTGCAAAGTATAGCAAAATTCATGCGTATATGCTGACGATCAATGTGAACAAGAGGAAAGCATTTAACGTGTGACGCATAGATGAACGAACTTTTCTTTTAACTTTTCCTTACCATTCTCATTAGATTAAGTTTAAAATTTGATAAAGGTGTTATAAGCAATTCTCACCAGAATATCCAGTTAATGATAGCTATATAATAATTCTTCTTATATGCAATTATGTGTACCGTGTGCATGTTACGCATCTCTTCGATAGTTTCTTTTATTGGCGTTTAAAGTACGTTTAGGTTCATTAAAAATGCATTCAATTTTCATCCTATTGATTCCATACTTAACGTAATCCTTCTATATATTGCGAATCTCGAAAGTCAACTTAAAGAGAAAAAATCAAATTCCGTAACGTAATTAAACGTCGACGCCTTCATTACATTACTTCATTTGTAGCTGCCTAAAAGGTTTGCAAGCATATAAGGTTGATTTTGAGATTCGGTTGCGATGATCCTGATCGGCCTACTATTACTGCTTTCTTCACAAGGTGACAGTTCACAAATATCAAGCATAACTTAAGCGGTCAAGCGTATTTATCTATTCGACGGCTTAAGATGTTTACAGCTCGCGATGTACTCCGCATATGAAATTTACCCGTTTTCGGGACGAACTTGTGCATAGGTTTTATAGTAGACTCCCGTCTATCGTTGCGGTGCATTGCAAATTACACAATAGGTGCTAATAAATTTTATAAAACGCAGGCTCTACATATTCAAGACTCAACCTAAGGTCAACATGATTGTGATTTGCTTTATTTCTATAATTAATTAAAAATTTAAACCAAACAACGACAAAAACAAGTAATGACATTGTAGTCGGGCATGGCCGACTAATAAATACCCTATACCACAGTTATTTGCATGACCCTCATGCAAAGGTACTCTTTTCAAGAAAGCCCGCATATTGGAGGAATCTTTATATGTGGTGGTATACAAAAAATAGACCTACGTGGTCCAATTTCGGTAAGTCGATTGATTGATATATCAATTTGCTCTTGTAAACCAGTTTTCGCAATGAAAGATTGAAAATTTGACTCTTGTACTATAAAAAGATTCAGTTTTCGTAGGAACGGTTATAAGAGAGAGGGTCCAAATTTTACGCCACCCGAACCGAATTTTCCATACCAACTTACGGTGTCCAAATATTACTACGGAGCGAGCGTTGTCGAGAAATTTTGAAAACGGCAATTGGACGGAATGGTCGATGAAGTGAAGCGATCCAAACCATTTTCGATAGTGTTCGTCCGTGGGTCAAAGCATGTCATTGAACCAAATTTCATCAAAATAACCCAAAAATTCTGATCTGTAGCTCGAACCCAAATGTACGTGTACAGCCATCCGAACGGATAGACCAGGTTAGATTAAGAAAATGATTCCGAATCGATCGGTATAATAAAAGGTGGGTCTTGAGCCCTGCTGCCTGTTACATTCATCCGCATAAATTTAATATAGCCTATACTACAAGGGGTGTAGGGTATAATTAACTCTTTGTTGTATCATTTGTTCATTCGAAAGTTGATGTTGTTTAATAAGTGACATCATAAAAATTGCTATTATTTTTACGGATAATAACACATTGAAAACTGCATTCACAAGAAAAGAAAAGTTATTTACTTACTTATATATATAGTAAACATAAACTATGTGACATTTCATTTTACTCTATATATCATTTAATTTTTATTGGATTTCTTTGTCAGTTGCTTGTTTTCTTTTTCTTTTTCTTTTTCTTTTCCTTTTTTTTTTTTTTTTTTTTTTTGCTTGTACTTTTTTAAATTTTTTCTAAGGTCACAGATCTTTGCTAAGAATATAAGTGAATTTATGCCCTCATAAAAACCCCCCACTTTATAGTGAAGAATTGTATAAATTATGGTTACTGTTGTGATACGTATATATGCATATGTAAACGGTTATCCGCAGCAAACATTTTACGATTTATGTTTGTTGGGGCCAATAAAATGATTGCAAACGATTTCTTTTTAATGCAAATTGTTATGTTTTTATTTATGACTCATAACCCGCTTGGAATTTTGCTTAAATGTGTGCATATGTACTGTTGGAATTTAGTTTTTCTCTGCTTCTTCTTCTTCTTTTTCTTGCTTTTAATTTTTGTGCAAGTTATAAAAGCAAATAATTGAAAGAATATTAAATGTAAACAAGTGAGAAAATTATATGCGACCGGGGCCGAATATCGCCTGCTCACCGCGCCCCATGTTCTTACTTATTGCGATAATAAAGTGAGTGGGAGAAAATTTATCTTTCACCTTTCAGTTTACTGAAAGGTATTGTTAAGAAAAAATCCACCAAGTCGTGGAGCTCATCATATTTACTTTAGAACTAACACACTTAGCTTATTACATTCTGCTCTCGGAATCGCTTCATTTGATATCCATATCAACGGTATTGTGATGAAAAAACTAATCCACCAGGTCGTGCTGCCCATCATACTTTCTTTAGAAACTAACACACTTAGCTTGACGCATTCTACTCGCTAAGTCCTGTTATTTGTCGTGGTGTCCCCGAGAAATGTACAAAATAGTTTTAAACATTCTTGTCGTGTCTACCTTATGATCAATAAGCCAAAAAATCTTACAAAAGAGAAACAAAAGAAAATTTAATCAGTTGTAAGTTTGTGTGGGCATGGCCTTTGTTTCTTATAAAAATAAATTTATCTGGAAATTTTTTTGTTTAATTAAGTAAATTCAATTAAGAAACGATCAATAAATTAAAAGCAAATAAGAAAATATATTGACCGAAATCTGGTAGAGTTTTCGGATGCGCAAATATTTAAGATTCGTTTACTCAATCCTAGCTGTTTAGTTGTAGCACACTTTTTTGTATCCGGCTCGAACCAATTGTTCCACTTGCTGGCCGTGAACGATTTGTCTTGTACTTGGCTGTGATTAACAAACTGATGTAATTGAACGAAGTTTGCAATACCGTACACCACTCGTGGTATAAGGATATATTAGGTTTGTGCCAAACCTCTTATTTTACCGATCAATTCGAATCGTTTCCTGAATCGGCCTAAGCTTGTC